GGGACAGAGCCTGCACTGGCTGCTCCATCAGTCTGCGATGGACCACGCCAGAACCTTCCTCCCTCCACAGAAACAAACACTCCAACCCCTCAGAGGCCTTTGCAGAGCCTCTTTGCACCTCATTTGTTCCTGTATCAAAGGTTAGAACCCAGTTTTTCTTTTTCTTTCTATCATTTACTGTGGTTTAGTTCGTTGCTGAAGGAAACAAGGGTGTGTGTATGTACACTGCATTTCCTTCACTGCTTGTGCTGCAGGTTGGTGGTTGCTCTGCCATGGGGTCCCTCCAGCCCCAGTCAAGGTCAGGGGCTTCTTTATGAGGTTACCAACCTCTCTACCTCATCTCAGGTCATGAAGGAACAGGATAAAGACTTGCCCTTCCAATTCTCCCAGACCTTTTTCCAGCTAGTTAGTTGATGACTTGTAGGCATCACGGTCAGAGCTTGGGTTTCATTTTGGATTGTTCATTGCCCCTTCAGCAGTGCCCTGGGCTGGGGCAAACCACCCTGCATGGCCCATCCTGGCATTATTTTATTTTATACACCTCCAGGTTTCAGTCAGGTCTGGTTCTGGCCAGGGTCTCAGCCCAAGTGAGCTGTTTTTGGGGGAGAAACATGACAGTGAAAGGCAACTTACTGGCTCCTTGGCTCCCTCAGCTGCGTCTCCCGCTTGGTAGCTAGAAGACAAGGGAATAAAAAGCACTTAGAAAAGTGTGATTTGGGAGCTAGAGAACAGAAAGGGCCATTAAACACGTTCACAAGACTTCTTCAACACAACAGGGCAGCGGAGGCAGCAAGCAGCAGCTGCGATAGGGTTTTGATTAACTTCTTTGAAACCATATTTAAATTGTGGGTTTTGCTTGCAAAGCAAGGCAGGTAGTCCTGTCCCCAAACCCCAAACTGCAGCCTCTCTCACCCACTAAAATCTACCCATTGCTCGGGGAGGGGCTCAAACCCCCACTTGGGTGAGTGCTCACCCCACTCTCTCTATGGATTTATCCTCCAGAGTCTCCTTCTAGATCCTCTGCAGGATTTGTGCATCTGAAGCTGGTCCTCATGTGGAGTGTCCCAAAGCCACTACCACAATGACCATGGAGAGGGGTCTGCAGCCCATGGCATTGCACCCACCCCAGGGAATGGGTGCTGCAGTTTTGGGTGGTTTTTCCCTAGCAGCTTTCTGGCTGCATCTTCCCAGCTCAAGCTGCTGGAAGCATCCCCAGGAGGGCAAAGCTTCCGAGCTGGCACATGGCTGAGCAGAACCAAACCAACTCAGAGGGGAAATCCCAAGAGGAAAGCCCAGCCCAGGGCTGTGGGGAGGACCCTGGAGCCTGCAGACAGGACTTACCAGACTGTTGGCACCTGATGCAGAGGCTGACAGCTGCCCCGAGCAGCATCAGCGCTGCGGCCGCACACAGCAGCTCCAGCTGCACCATGGCCTGGCCCTGTCCAGCCTGAAACACAGCAGTGAGGGGAGCCCTGTGAGCATCAGGGGCACATGGGGCTCTGAGGCCATTGCTCAGAAAGCTTTCACCCCCAAACAGCCACGTGCTGTGCCCTCACAGCCCCATGGAGCCAGGCAGGTGCTAAGGATGCCAAAGAGGCTTTTGCATTGTATTACAGGATGGCAAAGGCAATGTCCTTTCCTGCTTCAATTTACTCATTCCCAGTCCCAAAACCCATGTTGCCATCATCAAACATTGCCAGCAAACACTAATTTTCTAGCATCTAGAAGAGAGGGTGAAGAGGGAGGCACCTGGCAATACTCAAAGTGCCAAGCCCTTTGCTCAGAGTGCTCTGCTCTGGCTGCTTCCTGCAGCACAGAGTGATTTGGGGTGTTAAATTCCCCATGCTTCTTTCTGCACTGAGCTGGCTCAGCCACCAGCTCTTCCCCTCCTTTCCATGACAGGCTCCTCCACAAACAGCAGCTAACATTTTGTAATAATCAGCATGATTTGGCTTCAGCTCCTTCCTTTAAAAGGAAGGGCTTTGTATTGGGTTTGTATTTTACAAACCATTCTATAAATATCACAGAAAACAGCCTGCTGGCACTGACATGGATAGTTTAGCCCTTTTCTATTCCCCAGGGACAGATTTTCTTTAGTTACAGATTACTTAATTTATTTTTGTTTCTAATAAACTTCTTTTGCCCCTAGGGATGGAGATGCTTCAACTTGCCAAAGGCCAGTACATCATCACTCTGCCTGGCAGGAAGCTTTCCCACTGCCTAGCCTCAACCTCCCTCATTACAACCTAAGCCTGGATTGTATAGCCACTATGGGTGGGGGAGGAAAGAGATATCTATCAATGACTAATTGAAATTGTTCGAAATGGAAAGAGATATCTATCAATGACTAATTAAAATTGTTTGAAAAGATGCAACAAATATCAATAACAGACAGTAGAAAACAGTAGTTTGAGTGTGTCCTGCTCAGTACATTCTGCCTCTGCTTGTGTAAAGTGGAAAAAAATCACATTTCTCCACCCCAGCTGGAAGTTGCCCAATACCCTGTTCACATGGAAGAAAACCCAAGGCCTCTTGCAGCAGCTAAGCCTGTTGGTGCTGAGCAAGTGTCCTCCTGCCCATGCCAGGTGCTCAGTGCTGTGGCCAAGACTGCCAGTGGGAGATCTGCGATCCAGTTTGGCATGTCCCAGTCCTATGCCAGATTCCTAATTACCAGAGCATTGTGTAAATCATCATGTGTAAATCAGTGTGGGGTGGGGGAAGGAGAGGAAAGACAAAGCTCCCCATTTCTGCTCCAGACAGTCCCTTGAGCCCAGCATTGCTCTGCCTTTGCCAGGAGGGAGCAACAGCCAAAGGGCTTTGGTGTCAGTGTCCTCTCAGCAGTGCCTGAGCATGGTCTGGCTGCCCAAAAGTGACCCAAAACCACTAGGATGACAACTTGGCTTTGATGCTGTTCCTCTCTGCTTGGGAGAAAAAAGAGTTTATTTCTACTCCTTTCCAGGTTGCCTGGGCTCCCCAGGACATGGACACTCCTGGCTCTTACTCCACCTTGGCTTTGCTCTCTAAAGACCCCCTGGAGCCTCACCCTGCACAGCTGAAGAAGATCTGTCAAGTCATTCTAAATTAAGTGAGCCCAGACCCCCATGGATCCACCCTGGGGGTATAGGATCAGCACCCCCAGCCACAGGCAGGGACGGAGCCTGGTCAAAACCATGTGGTTTCTCACATTATTTTTTCCTTGGCTCAGCATCCCCCATGGAAATCATGAGCTGTGGATCAGCTCTAAAGCATCTGCAAGAGGCAGCTGAGCGGAGCTGGCCCAATGCTAATGACTGAAATCCAGTATACAAAGGGCTGCAATGCTGCTGCTTTGTTTGTGGGCTTTTTGGGTTGTGTTTTCTCTTCTTTTTCCTCTCAAGTGAAGACAAGGCAGAGCTGAAGGTACCTGACAACACTGACCTAGTTTGTTCCATTGCATGGCAGCCACCACCTCCCTTCCCGAGCTGGATTGGTTTCCACAGTGGGCTGTGAGGCAGCAAACCTGTCTGCTCCTGAGCCCTCCACTCACCAGGGACACCAAAGGTGGTTATTTGAGGGGCTGCCAAGCAGGGTACCATGCATCCCACCCCATCACAACATCCCCCCAGAGAAAGCTCACACATCAGCCTGGAGGTCATTTGTGCACCCCAAACACCCAAGTCCATGGAAATCCTTTCTTTTGGTACAAACCCTCATGTGGTAAGGAGCTGACAGAAGGAGGTGATGAACAGATTTATGACAAGCAGAAGGCTGGAAGCACTTACTCATGGCTGGCAGGATATAAATAAAATATTTGGAAGGCTGAACGTGCTTCCCTGCTCTGCCTTGGGGAGATGGAGAGGAGAATAAATAGACTCGAGCCACTGAGGTCTGTGCACAGAAGGACATGCAGAGTTCATGCCTGGCCAGCCTTGCTTTCAAGATGCTGAATCCAAACCCAGGGAGAAAACAGGTTCTCATCTAGTTTGGGAGTGACATTCGGACAGTGATGCAATGCCCTGTTCAGCTCATAACACTTCTCTCTTCTCCTTTTGCCTGTTTTTCCCCTTTTCGTGCCAGCAGAAGCTTCTCCCTGCACAGGGAAGCTGGTGGGGCCGTGGCACACACTGCCAGCATGGCCTGAGCACCACAGCCCTGCAAATCCCCCAGGAACAGCTGCTGTGGACAAACAATTCCCAGGAGAGCAACGTGCTGGAGGCTGGATACAGCCACAGCCTCTGTGGCACCTCTCCTGCAAGGGGGAAGCTCAGCTTCCCAAACAGGAGCTGCTCCTTCTGTGGCCTCAGATATTTTTAGCAGTCAAGGAGACAGACGTTAATTCTTCCCAAAAAAACGGGAAGAATTAATCAACTTGCAAAAGCTCATTCACTCTGTGCCAGGTCTTGTCAGCCTGGCTGCTGGTGGGGGAGGTGTCTGGTCCTAAATTAGGGATTCATCCCAGCTCACTCTGAAGTGAGCCAAGGGAAGGAGAGGTGGTTTTATTGGGGAAGACCAAAAGATCTCCCACTTCTAAGTCTGCTAAAGCATCGAGGGAGACTACACGGACATTCACTGTATCAGTCCAAGAGCAACACACCAAGAGCTCTGTTCTCCCCAAGTGAGAAAAGATGTTTGAATTCAAATAAGACATTCCTGGCTTATACAATGAGTGGATCTAAGCTGGATACACACAGCCTAGAAATAAAACTCTCAATGAACGGAAAGTCTGGATAGAACTTTCCAGCAGTGGCAGAAGAGGCACAAAGCTCACTTAAAACCCTTCAGGAGTGTTTAAAACTAACTTAAACATTTTGCTGGAAAAGCCAGGAGGGTGAGGAATGTGTTGCTGTGGCCTGAGCAATGTCTGGTTTTCCACAGGATAATTTCTGATCAAGACATTTTAGCCCTTTGCACACGTCGAGTTCACATTGCAAGATAAAGACCCAAATTGCAGGTTTAGGTCGTGGATTCAGCCTGTTTGCCAAAAAAAAATGCACAAAAGGCAAGTATAAACCAGTCACCTTCTCTCCCCTCTACAAAGTTTCGTGGTCTGCACCAGTTTGCAGTAAATCAATGCTAATTCAGGCTGGTGGGGTGAGTCACTGGTATGAAATATATAGTGGGGAGTGTATTTAAAGCCTCACCATATGAAATTCAGCACACTGACTCTGGGAACAGATGCAATATTCGGCTTGACTCAATGTCTCTAACATGTCTAAGAAAAGAAACTCTACTTTCTGTTTGCCTGTGTGGCACAGATTGCCACAGAAAGTCCCAGTAATTTAGAAATTAAAGTCTCAGGCCAAGGAAGCTCCTGCAGTTGGAATCACTTCACTGCCCAGCACTGAGCCTCCAGAAAAGCTCCTTTCCAGAGGTCTGCACATCCCACTCCCTACCAGATTTATGCCAGTGTCAGGCTCCTTAGGAAAGCTGCTGCTGCAGAGTTCAAGTCTGGCTTTGCACAGCTATTCAGGCAGATTATTTCCTGCCAGGGGAGCAGTAGATGCATTTCAGCAGAACATAGGACAAGAGGGGGAAATTGGAATTGATAAATCAGCTTTCATGTGGATTATCCCTTTGGAAAATGCTTTCAGAAATCCTCAGGTGGAAAATACACCACCAAACCCTAATCACAACAGGCAGGGCAGCACAGGGAGGTAATTCACAGACACATTTTGTAACTTCTCCTGTTCCAAGCAGCACCAAAGCCACACAGCATCCTGCACCTCAACTGAGAGCCCAGGGGATGCCACGTTAGCGATATGGAAACCTGTGTGCATGTAACTGCCTACTCCAGAGCCAGGAAAATGAGCCAATCTCACACAAGATTATCCTGAAATCATCCTCTTCTGCTACAGCCTCTGCCTCATGGCCCATATTACACTGCACATTGAGCACAGGAGAAAACTGATGCAAAGCCAAAACTCTTTCCATCTAGGATTAGCAATTTCAAACACTTACATGCAGTGAAATAAACACATTCATATCTGTGATGCCAGTCAGGAAAACTGATGGAAAACCCAGGAAGTGTCATTTGAATCAGCTATTTCATAGGATTGGGCTTTGGAGGGGGAGCAGCAGTCCCAGGAGCCACAGGCAGGAGCCATTAGCAGGACTGAGTGGATTGGGATGAGGGAGCTCAGTGCAGATGGAATCCTCCAGAATGTTTTAGTGGATGTGAATGCAGAAATATCGTCATTACAAACCTGCCAAGCTGCCAGCAGCAGGGGCAGGGGGAGGTATAAAGAAAATCAGGAAATTTTTTTCCCTGTTAAGGGGTTCAGGCATTGCAATATTGCCCACTCAGGAAATTTTTTTCCCTGTTAAGGGGTTCAGGCATTGCAATATTGCCTACAGAGGTGGTAGAATCACCAGTCCTGGAGGTGTTTAAGAGGCATCTGGATCTGGCACTGGAGGATATGGTTTAGGTGTTCCAGCAGTGACAGGTTAATG